CCAATCAAAATACGTGTTTTTGACAGATCACCATGGCAACGGAGGTATTTTAGTGGAAATTTTTTTCTCGTGGGGTACCCAACAGCGAATTATACTGGAAATTTTTTGACGTTTACAATAACAGACCATTTTTGACAGTCTGGTTTTTATTTGTTCACATAATAGGTTTTGTTTTGATACATTTTAGTTACAATGCTAAGGTGTTTTCTATATTCTTCGGCCACTTCTTTTCTTCTTAATGGCGAAAATGCAGGACTTTGGATGCTTTGAATTATGTGTCTATGTCTAATAAAATATATATAATATTTAGACACTAATTTATTCACCTTTTTCCCATTCAGCACTTTGAATTTTGCGTAGTTTAGGTGCAAATATTCGTGAACAATTCGGAACAAATTTTCGTTTTTTAAGTTGGAGCCACAATCCTCTATTAATCCGAGTAAGTAAGTCATGGTGCAATGATTGATCATTACATCAGACAATTTCACGCATATTTTGCATAGCGTATGATTTTCAAATCCATTCATTTTTAAACAAATAGGTAATTTTGTTGATTTTACTTGCTGTGCAATATTCTTTATCGCAACAAAACGCGAGTTATTTAATGTTTTGAACTGTCAAAATACAATGATCACAGCCTCCTACGATTGATGCTTGCTGACGCTGGTTATGAATTTCATACCATTTTAAAGCGCTCATAACGCATGTTAACAAAAACGCAGAAAAACAATTTTCTACCACTTGTAGTTATTCAAAACTTACGTAAAATTAAAGAATATACTATTTTCTATTTTCAAATGGTATTCCCATGCAACTACAATGAGTAGAAATAAGCAATTTGAAGGCCTAAATAATTGCAGCGAAACATTTTTTTACGTCGGGCCGCTTGACAACTTCAAAACTGAAATTATATTCGAGGTTAGGCATGGTATAAAAAATAAAAGGTAGGATATCAACTGTGTTAAAAATAGGACGGCCACGCGCATGACGTCACGCGTAGAGCTTATATAGGCGCGAATTTAAAAATACTGAGTAAGTGTAAAGAAATTTACAGAAATTTCATGAATATTATAGAAATTACATTAAATATTTCTATAATCGGGATAATGAGAAAGGTAACTTCACAACTCGGAACTTCTCAAATGGTTACCCTGGGTAAAAATTTCGTATCTGGGAACGCCGGAAATTTTTTAACTGATTACGTTCGCAACTAGTGATTCATTTACCTGCATTATATTAACCAATTGAATATATACATAGTTATTACTTATTTTATGGTAAAGATGGGATTCCTTTTTAAGTAAGATAACAAAAATAGGTTTTTAAAAACTATTTTTTATACATACATATTACATATAATATAATACAGACCATAAAAATAATACATATATCAAATATAAATAACTGCTAGATAGAGGGGTGTATATACAAAATTAAAATAAAATGTCACTGCATTTTTCTTGGATATAGTCACTGACAGTTTTTTTTATTCTTCTATTAAATACAACATGCCGAAATTTTCTTCTTTTGCTACCTATAAAATTTCACCTTTGCTGTATATTTTCTGTAAATTGTTAGAATTCAAAGGATATAGTCCCCAGTTAAGAAGTTCCGAGTTGCGAATGAACCAACGTGAAATTTTGCTTTGAGGTTCCTCTTATAAAAATTGGATGTTTAAATGTGCTTGGAAAACACATGACAATTTTCTGTTTCAAATTTATCTGGACGGCAACAGGCAACTGCAAGGGCGTCTCCAGCTCCAGATCGAAATTTCGGGGGGAGATGGGTAACATTGCCTATAATAATTCCCTTTTTAGCATATTTTTGTAATAAAAGGCTCATGGAACGGAAAAATTTAAATCCAGTGGGGATAACCCCCTGGAACCTTCCACTAGGGTCGTCCTTGGGCCACTTCTGACTAACCTCTTGCTGTCCAGAAAAGCAAACAAACAATGTCTTCTTTAAATCTTTTGCTTGGATTATTGTTGGTACTTCCGTAAATTGTATGCCACGTTTTTTTAATGTTTTTCACTAATATCACTTACAAAGAATGAAGTTTACAACATATTATCATACAAATATCTGCTTAAATTATTATAAATCACTTTAAATGACTCAAAAATCACTGCAACGTGCGTCTGTCATATAATATTTACTTTGCGCCAATTCTACTAACTCTACGCATGACGTCAGCACCGCCATGACACCATGCGCGATATCCCCCCCTGGAGGTTAGGGTCTCACTTAGTTACCATGACAACTTAACAATCAAGGCGACAACACCTTTTATGTTTCACTGGTGACTTGGAGAAAATAATTTGCATTGTTGAGAAACGAAAAATAAATTTTAAAAATATTTATTTTCAACCATAATTCGGCGTGGAATTTTCTTACCGAATACCACGCGAGGTCAAATTAATATCAGGAAATTTTTTGACCTCTAGTGGTATTACTAGTGAAAATTATTTAAATAAAAGTTGTTTGTGATATAATTTTCTATAATTTTTATCCTATACATAATTTCGTAGATAAAGAGAAAACATTAAATTTTACACTTAATCTTTATTCCGGACTGAGGTAAAATACTTAATTAGATTTCAAGCAGTGTCGGAAGATCTGGGGGCGGGGGGGGGGGTTCTTTAGAGGAGGTCATTTTTATATTTTATGGAATATATCTATTATTTATGTTTGGAAAAGAAAATTGATCAAATAAAAGTTACTTCCTGTAATATTCTCTATTATTTTTGTCCCAAACAAAATTTTCCTAAAATGGTCCGTATTCGAGAAATTTTACAAAATGTAAAAAAATTCAAATTTTTAAGAAAATTGTTTAAATAAAAGTTGTTTGTGATATAATTCTCTATAATTCTTAACCCATACATAATTTCTCTAAAATCGATAGTATATGAGATATTTGAGGAAAAGTGTAAATTTAAAAAAAAAAAACTCATAAACGGATAAAGAAAAAAAAACATTAAATTTTAAACTTAAGCTTTATTCTGGCCTGTGCTGAATTACTTAGATTTTGGGCAGAGTCGGAACATCTGGGGGTCTATTTTTATTTTATGGAATATAATATGTTGTGTTTGGAGAAGAAAATTCTTCAAATAAAAGTTACTTCTAATATTATTCTCTATAACATTTGCGTTTTACAAAATTTTCCTGAAATGGTCCGTATTCGAGAAATTTGACAAAGTGTGCAAAATTCTGATTTTTAAGAAAATTGTTTAACTAAAAGTTGTTTGCGATATCGATTTCTATAATTTTTGTTTTTACATGATTTCTCTAAAATGGACCGTATTGGAAAATAAGGAGGAAAACTGTAAAATTTTAATTCTTCAGTATTTTCGTTTTCAATGAAAATATATAGAAAAATGTTCCGAGTTAGATGTATATGGAAAGTGTATATATTTAGTTTATCCTCTAAACATTTACAGAGGTGCTGCAATAAGTTGTACAAAATAACCGAAAAAAGCCTGTAATAACAAGATAGAAAAGTCGTGTCTTGGACACATCAGATTTTTAATATTGGTTCAAATTTAAAAATGTTTGTACCAAAATTCTTCTAATCAAATTTTAAACGATAAGTCATATCAACTTGAAATTTTCAGGTAAAAGCAAGCTCTGTAAGGGGACAAAGCCTGCTGATTTTGTATAAATCTGAATAGTAATGGGTGGGTTAAGGGGGTTGTAATATTAAAAAAATCCAAACTAAATAACGAAAAATGATATCAACTTGAAATTTATAGCAAAAATCAAGATCTATAAGAAAACGAAGCTTACCGATTTTGAAAAAATCTGATTAAAAATGGCGGGGGATTAAGAGGGGTTGAAATTACAATCAAAAACGAAAAGCGACATCAACATGACATTTTTAGTAAAAATTAAGCTCTATAAGTGAGTGAAGCCCATTGATTTAAAAAAAAATGAATAAAAATGGAGTGATAAAACAATATCATATTGAAATCTTTAGGAAAAATCAAGTTTTATAAGGGAACAAAGTCTATTGATTCTGAAACAAATTAAAAGGTCCGTTAAAATGTGAAGAGTATAATATAGAATGCCAAACATTTTATATCTTTAAGTTATATTATGTAAAAATATTATGTAAAAATATTATGTAAAAATATTATGTAAAAATATTATGTAAAAATATTATGTAAAAATATTATGTAAAAATATTATGTAAAAATATTATGTAAAAATATTATGTAAAAATATTATGTAAAGATATTATGTTAATATACTTCTTCATTTTTCGTTTCTTAACCGACTTCAAAAAAGGAGAAGGTTCTCAATTCGTTGGAATATTTTTTCATGTATGTTTAGCGATAATTGTTTACTACGTTGTCCGATTTCTATGATTCTTTTTTTTTAGAAAGCTTATACCTCAGGGGTAGTTCCATATACAATTGAATCGAATGTTCTTTAAGAAAATAAAAAATCTCAATTTTTAAGGCATCTGTACGATTTTGAAGTCGGTTTTTAAAAATTACTTTTATGAATTGTAGACTGTTTTGTTGTTCAAGGAGTTTTATATTTTTGTCTCAATTTTGCGAAACAGGTCTTATAATACTTTTAATGCCAAAATTGCGGCTAGAAATCAATAAAAAATTATATTATTTTCAATAAACCAACAAATTAATAATTAATAAAGAAGGACTACATGATACTAATTTAATAAAAATTCTACTCTGTTCTTATAAAATTATAAACATCTACTATCAACTAAATAAACAAACTTTTTTTGACATCGCAAAACAGTCTTTTGCGATAATGCGAATTCAAAATCTTTTAGATTTTTTAAATTCAATATCCTATGAGCATTGGAATTTATTTCTTACATCTGTTTAGGAAAATATTCCTCCAACTACTTGACTACTACTTGGATTCCGAATTTTGTATAATAAATATTCAAATTAGAGCTTTTAAATAAAATATTTGAATTTTCTGGCATAAGAAATAATATATGATTTAACAGATGAAAATAAAACACTTACCTGCAGAAGTAACGAAAAATTGTATGAGCTTTCCATGTTCACATAAGCTTGTCATTTTAAAATTATAACTAATCACTCATTTGATTCTAAAGGGTGGTTTAGCACTTACAATTTAAAATACACTTAAAATATTCACATTCATGTTAATTATTCGTAAAAAAATAATGAATTAGTAGTTTAAGACTTATCACTTAAAAACATTTTACCTATCTGCAACTAATAAAGCGTGGTACTAAAATTTGTAAGCTTAATTGTTAGTGAAAACAAAAATCGATGATAATGTATACGTTAAGAACCTGATTATTTTGGAAAAGAGATAAGAGGTCAATTTTGCCACCTTGTAATTTGGATAGTTAATATTTAATTAACAATAAACTTATGTAGATTGTTTATAAATACTCATATAGAAATTAAAAATAAAGCAATTGTTTCAGTAATGGCCACTCAAGAGAACGTTTCTACTAGAAATTTAACTAAAAATCAACATTTAAAAGTAAACATTACTACACTGAAAAAATTACAACGAAAATTTTACAGTCACTTTGGAATGATATTTACCCTGAATCGTGTAATGAGAAAGTGTTTAATTAAAAAATTATTACTACGTTAATGTTAATTTGTATAATAACTCATGAATTCAAGTAGACACCTTTAGATATATTTTTCGGCGGTCATGATCTGGGCACTTTTGTACCTGTGCTGAAAGTAATGTTTGATTTGGGCATTTCGCCCACATTAGGAAGTCTTGTTTTTGGCACTCTTGTTAATCCTTTACCTGAGATATCCGACATAGATAAGTTGGGAAAAGAGTAAAGGATGCATAAAAAAAACTTAACATATTTGGTGATAATCAGAAACGCATTAAAAACGTAAATTACACAATCTCAACGAAACTAAATAATGATAAAATACTACATTTATTTTCAATACCTTAATGTGTTTTTATTTGTTTATATTGTAATTAAAGTTACTAGAATGTACCTACATATCTAATAATTAGATTTTATTAACTCAGATTCTTATATAATTCAAGCAAAAAGAAAATTGTCGTAACGATTAAAAATAAGTTTCAACAAGAACATAAATAAATTTGTTTATTGGTCAATCGTGGAAATGCTCATTGGTTTTTACAAAAAAAAATACCAAATAAAATTTACATGGAACATCAAAATTCACATAAAAAAATAAGCGATCTTAATATACTTTTAAACACCAAAAATTATCAGTTAGATTTTATGCACTGATTTAGATCATCGTACGATAATTTTATTATTTATTTTAGCAACATAAAAGGAATTAAGGAACACAATTTAAAATTGATTTTTAAAAATTAAACGTATATTAATTAGACAAAAGATAGAAATAATTAGATTTTTTTTCAATGATATTAATAAACTTACCGCTTTACTGAAGTCTAACCATTGCAACATCATACCGTCATTATGACGTTATTTTTTGTGCGTTACGTCATTTAATGACGTGAAAATAACGTTATGGTAACGTGAGAATATCACATTCATTAAAGCAACGGGAATATACCCATATAACAGAGAGGATGTTCTTAATAGAATGCCTAATAAAAGATTTGATAGAACCAACACTGATAATAGCGAGACCTTGTTGGTTTTCCTTAATGAAAGTAGAGCTCCTTCAAAAGCAAGCACCCCATAGAGAAAGAAGATGATAAGAATTTAACCTGGTAAATCTGTTGCAAGTGAGGATTTCACGACAAGTAATCCCAAAGAAAAGAAACGTGATAAAGTAAATAAAGAAACTGAAGAATTAAAAGTGAATCTGAGGACAAATTAGAATTAGATTTAGTCGAAGATTTCCAAAAGACTGATGACCTCAATGACGAGCCTCAAGCCCATTGCTCCCATTACTAACTAGCAAGGCTGAAGATGACTCAAAATTAGTTAGAGTTAAAAATTCCGATTTTCTACTTGTAGCACTTTTAGGGAAAAAATAATACAAGCATTTTGTTGCACAAGTTATTGACAAAGAAAAGACTGCTGTAATGTAAAGTTTTTAAGACTAAAATTACAAAACATTTTTTGTTTTCCTAATATTAACGTGCCCTAGTATAATAAACAAAAAAAAAACAACTTACATATTTTATATTTTCCTCAATACCTATTATTATTTTATCTAATATCCAGCGCAAACTGCGTTGGCACGACACTGGACGACCGGGCGTTGAGCGACGTTCCGAGAATTCCGAAATTAAGTGGAAGGTGGGCACAGTAAATGTGTGCCTCTGTTGTTTTCTCACTCATTATGATGCGAAAAACAAGGATAACGACAATATCGCTTAGCAAGAGATGAACACATGCGATGGACTTAAATAATATATTGACTGATAGGCTACCCCTGTATAAGTCTATACAATGTTGATGTCGCTCTAATAAAATAATTGTTTCTTTTTCTAATGCAGGCTTTCGCTCATATTAGAATCTTCAGCAGTAGCGTACGTAACAGGATTGCAATGGGTTATTTTAAATGTGAAAATAGTGACTGCAAATAGATTAAAAAAGTACAAAATAATGTTTTAAAAGATAGGTACGTTTTTAGTAAAGTGAAAACAAAATATGACATTACTGTCATGTCAAAAAATATAATAAATATTTTATTGCTTCTAAAATATTTAGAATTACAGCAAGGATTTGGAATTCTGTAAAATATCTATACCTGTTGAAAAGCTATATAATGGTAGAACTTAAGAAATACATAAAGCATTTAATTTAAACATGACAAAATATTCCTAATAAGAATAAAACAAACCAATATATATTTACCTATTTAGCATAAGTAGAAGTATTTCAGGATATTAAAAAAATATATAGGAATTTAATTTACTTCTCTAATGACTTCGTTTAAAATATAAATTATCTAGTTACTTTATTTAAATTAGGTAACTAAATATTCTTATATTACTGATGATAGTTTATATTTTAGACCATGTACAAATATAAACAGTATGCCTCCAAAAACTAATAATTTTTTTGATATTGCACATACTTTTTCACTCATCTTAATTGTGTCTGTAATGTTTTATTTCTGTTTCGTAAGTTTGAAGCAGTACTGCATGTTGGCAACAAAAAAGTCTTCATAATGACCGATTTTCTAGAAACTTCAATATAAAGTTACCAAAATATCTAGGTTTTCTGAAATAGGTATTCATATACAATTTAATGTATCAGCTTAGATCAAATCCAATGTTTGATTTACTTCTTAATTAATGGTGACTCAAATTTTGTTGATGAGAATTTCAGAGTCATACCTTGAACTTTATATTGAAGTGTATGAGGTACTTTTGTTCAAACTATAATTTTTTTTATTTGTTGGCAAGTTTAATACTCTTAAAGAAGGCCCATAATCAAATAATTTAGTATCTGAAGAAATTACTGTACTAAAAACATTCAAACATAATATTGGTTCGCCAAATTTATTAAACACAATACCTTCTATTTTTTTTTTAGGTGACATAGGTTCACCACTCTTCTTTTTTTCCTACTTTGTGTAATACAAAGTTCCTAAAAAGTAAAGATACAATTTTTAAAAGTGCTCGATATTATTTAGAAACGAATAAACTTATAAATATATTTGTTGCAGCAAAGCCGTCCTCTAAAAAGTGCATTGAAGAAATGTAATATATTCGTTCAACTTCTAACATTTTAGTCCATTCAAGTGCCTCTAACCATAAGTTTCTTCTAATTCGTATTTTAGAACACTAATACTAATTTAATTTTTTTTAATATGCATATTTTATTTTCTTTTTTTCTCCTAAAACGACGCCCATGTTCTTCGGTAAGAAATAATATTAACGAGTGAAACGTAACCTCACTTCCTCTTTTATATTTAAAATCATATAAAACACAAGTCTTTTCCTAGTATAAAATAAACCCTACAAATCAAAGTCACTTTTAACACCACCATACTTGAACGAATTTAAGTAAAAACTTAAAAAATTGTCTAAAAATAACTGGAAAAATAAATATAGAGATATTAATTCTATTTCTCTCTAATTAGAATCTTTCATGCGATATCAAGGCGACAAAAAAATTGTTTACTGTCCTCTCTGTACTACTCTGAGGCGATGGATTATACGTCACGAGCGGGGCGCTGTCCTTAGCGTGACGTGCTCTACCAATGGCACAGATTACCTAGACCAGATACGAATGTATGCAGCGGCATCTTTACCAGCATCCTCAGGTTTCGGCTTAAGGTGCGAGTTTGTTGGACCATGATAATAATTTATTTATTATGATTACGAAAAAACGTTAGTTTGGACCATTGGAATAGTTAAGAAATAAAACTACAAAGAAAAATAACTTTTTTTTTATAAAGCAGTCAAAAATTCAATAATATTTATAAATGGGACAAAATTTTAATTTTTCTTTTGGTTTTGTCTGACTTTTTCGAGGATTTCTAATCTCTGTTTGCATATTTAAGAGTATAAAAAATTCTGAGTGAATAATTTAATGGTGTACATTTTCGCAAGGATGACCAAATTCTATTTTGCTCTTCTCAAAAAGGTATGCGTTGGAAATTCAAAGCTTAGTTGACAAACTATCAAATAGAGATTTAAATATTTTTTCTAATTTGAAAATTTAAAAGAAAAATTTTTCGCTGGGAGATTTTAAATTGCCTAACACCTTCTCTTCAGAGTCGTATGCTTTAAAATGCGTTAACCAGTTAGAATTGTTAAGTAAATTGCATTCTTCTGAGAAATTTACGCAAATTTCGCAAGAGTGGATATGTAATGATTTTTTGATTAAATAGCCACATACATAGTTAAATGCATTTTGAGTGATCACATTTAGCTCCCTGTAGTCACATTCAGAAATCGTTATTGCCCCAACTGATTGTTTTGAAATATATTTAATTTTTATCAAGCGGAGAACTTGTTTTCCTAAGGGAAAAACGAATCCCGGGATTCCTTTCCAGTTTGTGCCCCACTGCCGCTAGTGCCCACGAGCCGCCACTGAATATTAATAACACAGGCCTTATTAATGAACACGATATTGTGACTATTTTAGAATCGCCAAAACTTGCATCGGCATCAAGACATTCGAAAATTTTGATTTTTCCAAATATAACATGATTTAGTTTTTTGTTTCGTAAAAATTTAAATGTTTATTTTGAAGCATTTGTTTAAGTTTTTTTTTTTGAGACTTACTACCTACTTAGAATAGTTAAGAATTATGTTCTTATTATTTTGTTACCTAAGAGTTGTTATTAATATTTTAACAAAGAGTTATTATTATTTTATAAGAGTTGTTTGTTGACTTGCAAAGAGGTAAATGTTTCTTAGTAACATACATTTTTAATGTAAATGAATTATGTTTATTAAAATATTTTTTTTAAACACATTAAAGGAGGGTATAGTAACTCTTCGAGACTGTTACATTGAGAAACTTACCTTATTGCTACAAACCTCCGACTCTGGCATCTAATCCCACTATTATTAAGTTACAGAAGGCTACTGCTGTAGCCACACCTATGTTAAAGCTGTTCCTTAATATCAGTTTATTTATAATTTTTACATTGTTATTTTATCGAACATAAAAAATAAGGTATTAAAATTGGTATAATAATTACATTACAAAATTTTGTTTGGCCCAAAAACATTTTTAAAATTCAAAATTTTTATTATTTGCATAAACTAAATAAATTTTTAGAATAGAAATAAATATTTAAGGTCAGTTAATCAACAACATATTGATTAAATATTGTGTAATTATCGGTATTGTGTATGAATTGATAAAAATAATATATGTATTTTTCCATATCATTTTTATATTGTTAAAAATGTTTTTTTGTACTTTTATTTATCATGAATGTAAATATAATTAATATAATCAAGGTGACCTTACTTTTAGTGCAGGCGGCTTCATAGTGATAAAAAATCTTATAAATTCCTTTATATTGGGGTCTATTCTGTAACAATTCCTTTATATTTAACGGCCTTTAAAAATATTGGCGGCCTTTAAAAACATTTTCGTATTCGTTAATTTACTGCTGTCATTATTTAAACAGATTTCTTTAAGATAGTCCTCTAATGTATTTTAAAGATCCGTTTAAATAATGACAGAAGTAAAGAAGAAAATATTTTTAAAGGCCGTTAAATATAAAGGAATTGTTACAGAATAGACCCCATTATATAGTAGCTGGCACAGGTTTACCAAAATAATACACTTTTATTTCCAGCCCAAAACAAAACGTTTTTTAGAATATAAATTTTATTTGCGTGCCCTTTTCTGAATTTTGCACTGATTCACAAAATTTTTTCAGATAATCAACATGGTTTATGTTAAGAAAATCAATAAATACTGCAATGCTTTCTTTTACTAAAAAGTTAGTGATTTTATTGAATCAGACGAATGTCCTGTTGGGTTATTTTGTGATCACAGCAAGGCTTTTTACTGTATTCAACATGATCAACTTTTTTCTAAATTTAAATAGTCTTGTTTTATATTTAGGAAAATAATCTCGAAGTTTTGTTATTTATTTACGGAATTTGTTTTTGCGGTGTTTCCACCAGAGTACCTACCTGATTTAGGCCGCGTTGTACGACAAGTTGGTTATCTCGAGTTCAGGTGATCTATAGATCAAAACTGATCCTCGATCATTTGTACGAACCTTGCTGAACTCTTTTGTTAGTTGATCTATAGTCAAGTCAAAAATAGTTCAGAAGTATTAGAAGCTGTCAATTTTATAACCTCAAAATTGCGCATCGTGACTGGTGGTTAGTTTGATATTTGTGAGTTTGTTAAAAAATCTCGTAATTTTACTTCTTGTGAGGTAGCTTTATTAATAGCACTTGTAAAGGAGCGGACAAGTCAAATTGAATGCCGTAAATCTGACACAGATACGAATAAAATTAAAAACGAAGCATGGGCACATGTATGCCGAAAATTTAATGCTCATTCAAAACAGAGCATCTACAGGGACGTAGATATTCTGACAAATAAGTACAATAATGTGAAAAAGAGCAAAAAAGAAATATGCTGATAAAAAGAGGCATTTGTAAGGTACGGGAGGAGGACCACCTGAAATAATTTAGGAATCTACCATCGACAAAGATATTGCCGAGATAATAGGCACCCAAATGACAGGCCGTCCTTCAGAATACGAGGACGATTTTTTGGGTAAGTAATTTTTTTATTAAGTAGGAGTGATTGTTTTTGCTGCTGGTCCCTCAAAGAAACCAAATTATTTTAGTAATAAAGAAAACATAGAATATATTACTGTCGAAGCCGAGGAGGAACTCGAAGAAGAAGAGGTCTGCAAATTCAATAGCGAATTACCTATTGATAAGGATGAACGCTGGATTAGTGTTAAAAAAACCAATGTCAATGCCACTTAAAGTTAGCCAAATACCAAATAGTAAGTATTCACAGGCCATACAAAAACTACTATTTCTAGTTTAACTTTAAATGTCTACTTTACCAAATCTATGTATTTTAATAATTTATAGCTCCTAAACAGAACAACTTACGTTCCAATTTAAGCCGTTGGGCTGGTTCGAAGCAAGCATTGGCTGCATTGCAGATAGAGTGTTTTAAAAAAGAACATGATTCGCATGATAACAAATGATAACCTGCCAAATGACATCCAAACCAACATTAACTGTAGTAAACCATAATATTTTTATTAATTTTTAGAAATGCATATATTTTATATTACAAATTTTTAATAAATAAAACAAGTTTTGTGAAACATTTTTTTATTTCTATACTTTGCATATTATAAGAGATTCATAAAAGAATTGTTAATCAAGCCTTGCCTAGTTACATCATTAACATTGTAAACTACATTATTTTGATCATTTATATTTAAATTATCTAAAATATCTATTGCTCCGTCAATTTCTTACATCAGGTATTACATCTCTCATTTGACATGCAATGTTATGTAAAACTGTAGTGGCGACAATTAATTTTTGAATTTTTTTCAAGTGGATTCTTATACCCAAAGCTAAAACAGGGAACCTTCTTTTCCAAATTCCGAATGTTCTTTCAATTACGTTTCGTGTGCGGATTTGTGACTCGTTATAAAGATTTTCTGCAGCTGTTTGTGGGTTGAATAAAGGTGTGACATTGTCTCTGCCAAACTCTTGATTTTCTAACCCAAATCGCAATCTTGAATTTAAGAAAATTGTAGCATTATGTGCAGAACCTTGCAATCAAGCAACTATGTTATGAATACAATTATTTGCATCACAAACTACTTTACTATACCACTTGATTAAAGCTTAAAGCTTATTTTAACATGCGTACAATCAATTGCACCTATGCATCTTGGAAATCTGGCAGAATTGAAAAATTCTTCTATAATTTTCTCTATGTCTTCGCCTGTAGGCATTTCAATATATTCTTCACGCATTCTTACAATTGAGGAAAGTACTTTATCAATTCCTCTGCTAACTGTCGACTGATCAATTCCTTCCATGTCCCCCACAACTTTCAGAAATGAACCTGTAGCTACAAAGTGTAAAGTTGCAAAAATCATTTCCTCTGCAGAAAAGACTGAACTTCTGAAATAAAAAGAAATGTTACTAAACTTATTATTAACTTACTACATGTGTGTAATTTGGTAGTTAGTAATTTTGAGCTGTAACTCGAACACCTCTTTATTTTTATTAAGTACTTACCTTCTTGTGGATGGCGCTAAATTATCATACAATTTATTAATTAGTAATCTAACGACTGGCTTTGACAATCTAAACCTATTTATAAATTCGTTGTCCCTCCATTTCTGAAAATTGTTAGGACGTTCTCGGAAAATCCTAGGCACTCGCTTGTGTAATTCCATTTCAATTAACTCCATAAAATCTTCTAAATCATAAAATTCCATTTCCAACTTTAATGTTGATATTATCTAATCACAAATTATTAATTACAAACAAAATTAACCTCTCACATTCCACTTTATGCTGTTAAATGCTTTGAACGCTGTTTGATCGCTAGTTGACAGTCCATCAGTTTAATCGACAGATAATCAGGAGATCAGCTTTCGTATAAAGATTTTTTAGGTTGATCTGAGATCAACTTTGATCTTCGGTTGAACTAGCTTTGTACAACGCGGCCTTAGTGAATTATATTGCAACATTTCAACCGAAATATATTTTTATTTCAGAGTTTACCATACTCAGAAGCCATGAATAAGACTCTAGTATTCGCCATCTTTGATTTCGACCGTTTCTCCAAACACGACCAGATAGGAGAGGTGAAGGTGCCCCTCTGCACCGTCGACTTGGCCCAAACAATCGAGGAATGGCGAGAGCTGCAGAGCGTTGAGGGCGAAGGTGGTCAGGTGATATCTTTTTATATCTTTTTAAATTTTATAGTAATTAGTCCGGTCCTTGCTTCAATCGGAATCTTCAAATTTTTACACCCAGTTCTGACCATTGGATGCTTGCACAAGTTACAGAGGACTCTTTTGCACTTTATGCCTCAACAAAGTTGGATTCTTCCATTGAATATCTATGTATACGTATTTTGTTAACAGTCTGATTAAAGTCTTGTCCCTAAGTTTAAACTCTTTAGTGGTACATTCAATAATTATAGACCTTTTAACCACCAAATTGATTAATTTAATTGATGTTACCAACGATGAAATTTAATTAAAATAAATCATCAAATTACAGATACTACATTGAACTATTGTAAGGGTAAGGTAAAGTAGTTTTCTTTTTATTTATTTTCCATTGAAAATTATATAATTTGTGCTTTAATAGGAACTGAAAGAATACATACAATTAATTGAGAAACCAAAGACTTTTGGTAAGCAGGTTTGTGATATCTACAATATAAGTTTTACAACACTAGCAGTCAGTTGCAAGAACATTTATTAGTAGTAGCCAGATAAATTTTGGCACATGTTTAGACTGCAAATAATTTTACGTTCATATCATTCAGGGAGTTTAGTCTAATCTAATTTAAAAAGGGGTTCTTACAACCGGGTATTAGTTTGTTTAATATATTTTTTAATTTTAAAATCTTTGCAGCTATGTACTATGATTTGTGTTCGAGCTAAATATGTATTCCTGTTTATCAGCATACAATTTTTTTTTCTAGAACATTCTTCTAAGAACTTTCTTTAAAACAATATTTTCTAATTTTAATTCCCTTCTCTGTATCTGTAAGGTGTGGAGGGTGAGTTAACCCAAGGCACTTAGGCTTCCTTGTGCATCCTCCTACGCAAATAAGCACCTCCTAGCTCTTGATCCAGCCCTTTATTACAGTAATAGTTATATAGTAATAGTGTTTCTGTATTGTCTAATTTTTTAAATTATCTTCATTGTTTTGCTGATGAATTAATAGATAACCTTTGTTATTAACTTTATTCGTTTTGGAAAACGAATCATACACAATATTTTATCCAGTGTGTAAACATCTAACACCTTCTTGAAAGATATATATTTTTGCGTTCTTACTATTTTTCGGGCGAAAAAAAGGAAGGTAATTTTTTGAGCATACAATGGATCTATTGTATTCCCCTGCTTTCCCCGCATTCAGATACTTTGGAATAGTTCTGTGCCTTTGATTATTTTAAACAAGTTCCATACCAAGTGTTCCTGGGGTGTTCTTTCTGGTTCTAGATCGAAAAGGGTGAGACGCCGCCTAGCAAGATTCGAAGATCACATGGTATGAGGTTTCTTCCTCTTCCATGCAGAGTCTACACGTAGCAGGATTATTGTGTAATTCCATCACATACAGGTGTTTCAGCAAGCAGTGTCCTGTTAGTATTCCCACAATAGCGGATATCTGAGCCTTGCAAGTTGTAGTATCTCAGTATCCATGCGTGAGTTTGGCCCCCTTAGCTTACTGATTATGTGTCCTCTTAACTGTTGCCAGTTAATTTGGTATATTGTAGTTATCCACCTGTGCACTGCCTGTCGTGCCGAGGTTTATCCTAAATACAGGGTCGGGCCCTGTGAGTGGTAGTTCTGGTCCCTCTTTGGCTAGTTCATTAGCCTTGTCATTTCTTTGGGTACCTTTGTGCCCTGGTACTCACGCTAGTTTTACCTTATTGTGGATTACCAGACCATTTAGTAATTCAAGGCAGTTCTTTGACTTGAGTATGTTTGAATAAAGAGCCTTCATGGCTGCTTGGCTATCTGAGAGAATTGTTTTTTGTACCTTCTTCATAAATTCTCTCGTACAATTCGATTGCATGTATTTTATCCTGAAATACAGTGGTATGTTTTCCCAGTGAGACGATGATATGTACATCAGAGCCTGTTCCCTTGTTAGTTTTAGATCCATCCGTATACCATACGAGACCGCTAAGCAAGTATTTATGAACCTCCTTATTTACCTGGTTCCAGTTGCAGTTGACCTGGAAGAGTCTGTTGGAGGTTAATATAGGATCATTTTCTTAATGTGTTATTCTGGTATGTTTTATGTTTCAGTAAGTTCCAGTTCCTGGAGATATCCAGCCTGTATACACTCATTCTGGCCTCTCCCTTTACCACTAGATCAAGTGGGAGGTTTAGAATGATTTCTATAGAGGCTGTCGGTGTACTTCTCAGTGCTCATGTGATACAAAGGCGTGCCAGCCTCTGGACTCCTGAGAGGTTTTTTTTTTTTTTTTTTTGTAATGGGAAATCTCCTGAGAGGTTATTGAGGGCTCTTTTTTAGAATACTTTAGGCCACCAAACAACCGCTACATAAATTATTATGGGTCTTACAGAATATAGCCAGTGGATCATTTTCGGTTTTAATTCCCATGTTTTTCCAAATATTTTCCCTATAATGAAAGACATTTTACATTTGTTGGTAACTTTTTGTAAAAGTTGGTTCCAAGAAAATTTGTTATCTAGAATTAGACTCAGATATTTTACTTGGTTCGTTTTGTTTAGCATTTTTCCAAACAGAGTCGAAGTTTTTAAGACCTCCAACCTTGTTTTCCGAGTAAAGGTTATGAGTTATGCCTTATAAGGGTTTACCAAGAGGTTTTTCCTAACGCACCACGTTTTTGTTAGCCTTAGAGCTCTTAAACTGTCGGCTGGAAAAATATAAACTGGATTACCCTGATTTAAGTGATCATTATATCAATATTTTACTCTTAATCTATTTGTGGGATTATTATATTTCCATTAATAATACAACCCCTCGTTCATGTTGTTTGGCTTGTCTTAATTTGAATTGTAAGTCTTTGGATATTGGTGTTACTAACTTGTTGGAGGTCTTAAAAACTTCGACTCTGTTTGGAAAAATGCTAAACAAAACGAACCCAGTCTTTCATTTTGTCCTAATTCTGTAATTATTGATTCCTTTTATATACCTTCTGTTTTCGGAATCGTTTTTCCTGGTGACTTTTGTAATTGTCGCTTAATGTTATCTTTAAAATATCTCGAAATATTCCTTTATTTTCAAAACAAATACATTGGCTCATAGACATAGAATACAATTTATGTACTTTTTGATTTTTAAGTTATTTTTATTAAAGATTATTGTCTAAATTTTCCGACGCAATAACTTAACAGGCACAAGGTTTATACAGAAGTAAATTATCTAAAATATGCATACATTGCAGTTTTTACATATATCGTAATGTACCACTAAAGAAATTTAAAGCAGAATATATATTTAACGAGGAATTCAACCATAAGTAGATTGAGATCATTTGAGAAGATTTTGCTTATTTTTTCTTATAAATATTTACTATCTCAGTAGTTTTGCGTTTTTTAAGTACATATTTGACACTCAGTTTTACACTTAAGAGGTTTATGGCTATTTGTTGGAATAAGGTGAAATTAGTGAACCTAGTACAAAATTACGAAAACATCAAAATATAATGTATTAGGTAGTTATCATATTACCTACCTATTTAAACTAAATTGTTTGCATACTATTAAAGTTATTTACGATAATTTAAAAACATGTTGTTGATATGTTTTTACAATTAGTAAACAATTATTAAAACTATATTTAATTTTCAGTAGACTGTCTTTTTTTTAGTTTCTTGCTCTTTATTATAAAAAATATTTTATCAACATAATGTTATGGTAAAAGCATTTTTATAATATTTAGCTTCAGATAGGTATTTACCCTTCACTATAATCAATAGGATTAGTTGAGGAAAAGTTAAATGATATGCTAGATTAAAAAAAAATGAGAATACCGATCAATCGATATTCTATGTTTTAACAATTTATAACTCGAGAACGGAAGAAGATATCGACATGAAGTTTTCACTATACTTTATATGTGTACTTTAATTTATTATTGATATTGTTGCCAAATGTAATTTTTTTCTAGAAAGTTGCGAAATAACCAAAAATATGAGTTTACTTTAAATAGAACCCCCTATAATTTTTAACATCTTCGAAAAGACCATTTCTTCCCCTTTCCAAAAATGTATACATTGTAAACATTTACTCAAGTTTTTAGGGAAATATTTACTTTTTTATGAAACCATGTCAATAACTTCCAAACATAAAGTATCACAATTTAATGACTTATAACTAGAGAATGAGACAATGTATTCGCTCCGTGCGAAGTCATGGAAAGGGAAGCAAAAGCGATACTAGCGCTAGCTGCGGATAATTCGTGCATTTTAGGGCGATATTTTGTAATTTCGGCACATCAAATACACGTATACATTTTACTTTTTTTTAAAAAAGTAGGTACAAACAATGCAATAAGCGACCGGAGTTGCTGTGTTGACAATTGTACAAATACTAGCAAAAAAAACAGTGAAACTTATATAAAAAATTTCAGTAGCAAAGTGGAAATTAAATCAAAGAAATAAATGGATAGATGTACAATAAGAAGAAAAATTACCTTTATTTTTGTAATAATAACAGTAATGCTGTAAATAGTACACATCAGAAACTTGAAAGGTTTTAAATAAACAATAAATTATCATTTTACGATGTTCTTTAATGTCCCTTTATTCTTAAATGTTCATTCAGCAAGGACTAGATTTCAAGATTTCTGCCTTTGATTATTATATGTGGATGAAATTTAATTTTGTGACTTACTTATGAGAACCCAATTTTAATCATTCATTCTATGTTTTCTTTCCAACAAAAATTAAAATATAAATAGCGATCCTTTTTTTATACATTTTAACTTCATGCTATTATTAAATGGTATTTTTTTATTTTCACAGAACAGGCTAATTCTTCAATGACAACTTATGAGACTTAGACAACTTCTCATACATTTTCCAGTAAATACTGTTGCCTGCCTATATTTTATTATTGATTTTCATTGATTATACATAATTTTCTTTAATTTAAGCGTTAAAAATATATAATAATAATAAATTAATGTTTTACTTGTTTTAAAAATCCATATACT